GCCTGTTTTAATACTACATGCTCAAATACGCTAATTTTCTCTCTACTCTTCCCCCGCTCCCCACTCCCTTCGACGTAGCTCCACATTTCCCACAATACAGCTCTTACCCGCCCCCACCCCGCTTACCGCAATAAATAAGCTTTCATTCTTCGACGACTGTAATACCCGAAAGAAATTGGAAACAATGTTTTTGCAAAATTTTGGAAGGGATATATACAAGGTGTATTTTCAGGGACTATACGAAAATGGTGAATACCAAATGTTGTTAGGTCCTAGTGCTCCAACATGTAAAAGAATAGAATTTGGGGCTCTTAGAAAAAAGATGTTAGGGGGCTGTACACTGCACCCTGAATGACAGACCTTGACGGGGGGAGGGACTCCCTATAATGGTCTATACGGAGAGGCTCCCCCGAATAGGTCATCTCTTTCAGGCTTTAGGTTTATAAAAGCGTAGGAATACTGATAGGGATTTCAAGAGCTGAAGTATATGAAAGGGTAGGGGAATTTGTTATTTTGGTATTTATCATCGTCATCATCAACATCATCATCTTAATCATTTTAGTTTAAAAAATGCAAGATGTTTTTGGTTTCAAGTGTCTGGATTTGTATTTTTCTAAATAAAAGAAACGCACCCTAAGGAAACTCTCCGTTGTAGGAGCTCGAGGCGCTTAGAACGCAACCTGACTTTTTTTTATCTAGATTGATTTTATATTACCAAGCAATCTTTTTTAAAAGCATAAAAACACTTCATTAAGAATTGCCACCCAAAAGCGCAATAAAAATAAAAATAGCTTGGATTATTATAATAGAGTTTAATATATAATAAGTGATAAAAACTGTTGGGTTCAATTTATTCATAAAAAAATTGGTCCAGTCTTCTGGCAATTTTAAGTTTGGTCCCTCTGTGTGTTTTTTGATCTGTGTGTGTGAGACCGTAAAAACGGCGACTCTGTCAAGTAGAGTGATGGGGAACCATACGTGTTCGCGCGCTTGCCTCGTAGCAGTATTTTTCCCACCACCAGGTGTTAAAAGCTGCAAAGACGTTTTTGAGTGACGCACGTCAACCGGAAGTAAGTCCTCTTACCCTTTTACCAAATTTGTATTGCTAAGCTAGTGTCTTTACGCTTAGCTTATTCAGACGATTTGCCCGAAATTGTCGGCAAGAGTGCAAAAAGTTTAGTTCTGGTTAGCGTGCGTCGCTCAAAACGTCGTTGCTTAAACTGTGTGCTTGAAGACGTCTGACCCGCCTTTTCTCGCTGTCCAACTTACTGCCCCTGGGTCTATCGAAAAGCAGAAGGACGCGCGTGTTCCCCTTTTCTCTTCCACGCACCTCGATTTCCTTTTTCTCTTCTAATGCGCTCTAACTCAGGATAACAACTGTACGAAGTAAAATTTCTACGTCGATATTCTTCCAAAGAAAGAGGTCACAGTTTCAAAATAGAAATAACTTCGGTGCCTCATTGTTGGGACCTCTGTGATGAGATTCAAAAGCTGGTGTTTCTAGCGTTTTCCAACAAGCCGCGAAAAGTCAGATCTCGTTAAATCAGAATCTTCGTTAGAACATAAGTCCGCCAAAAAGTTAAATACCCCTATTGCTTTGTTGTTTTTTTTCCCACCCGTTTTGGGTTCCTGAAGCTCTTCTTAAACACTGCGTCACTCGTCAACAAGAACGGACACGAAAATGTGACCCAAACATCCGGTCAAATATTATACGAAATGCGGAAAATTTGTTTTGGATAGATCAGAAAACTTAATTTAAAACTTGATTTAAATTTGCATGACACGAGTTAATCGTAATCCACACTGATTTTTGTTCTTTTTTTTATGTTTTTTACTTTGTTGCTGTTGTTGGTCGCTTCATCGCGAAATAGAGACCACAACACGTCGACGCTACCCCCTCCCTTCCAATTCCCCTTACCCGACCCCTGTAACCGGAATTTTCTCTATGACGAGCTCAGGCGTATCACTTTACACACCAACAAACATGGCGGGCTGCATACCACAGACGATTGTAAAGTTTCAGTTACATTTACAAGCGATTGGATCCCTTAGTACACAAGACTTCCTCTGGAATCTCATCATTTTCAGCCCTTATGGTAAATGAAGAGAGAAACGCAAGAGATAAACAGCCAGGGAAACCTTTGCCAAACTGGTTAATTTTACGAGTGTTGCTCATTTTTGAACGTGCCATATTTTGGTTTCTATATTCATTCACCATGATGGAAAACGACGAGGTCTTCGTCAACAACCGACACAAACCAAGAAGTCCGAACTCTCCAAAGGGCACTAAGGAATTTAGAACGCTTATGAACTCAGATCATAAAGACAGAACTAGAGCAACTTCTGTACCCCATATGTCTGCTGTACCCGCAAAGCATTCACCGAGCTCTTTCAACCCTGTCAAAGACTTTATTGCAAATTTCGTCAACTTTAAAGGACCGAAGAAACGTGCTTCAATAAAGCGCTCTGTCACAACAGAGAACGTGACCGATGAAAAAGCTCCTGTTAGACATGTTGGAAGGGGACATTCATTTTTACCCTGTCATTTACGAAATCCTACCTGGTGTGATTGTTGTGGTGAATTTATTTGGGGATTGTTCAAGCAATGTGTACGCTGCAAAA